TATCCAATAAACGTCAAAACGGCTGAACCGATCAGGCCCAAATTTAGTGTGGGACCTTACGTAGCCCCAGGGAAGGTTTATGAATGATCAAATTTTAAATATTTGTCTCCTTCAAAATTCGATTTTCATTAATTTTTTGACATTTTTTTGTTAAAATCCGCGAACTTTTTTTCACGATGTACACAAAGATAACCTGTTCAAAATTAAAATAGAAGATGGGCGCAAAAACGGACAGTTTTATTCTTACAATAGATAAACAGAATAATCACCATCAAGAATATTATATTACCTTGGATTACAATAGATAAACAGAATAATCATCAGAAAGAATATTATATTTCCTAGATTGCAATAGATAAACAGAATAATTATCAGCAAGATTATTAATATTTTCTAGGATTACAATAGATAAACAGAATAATCATCAGCAAGAATATTAAATTTTAAATGTGGAAGAAAGTTAGAGATAAGAACGATCGGTTTGTTTTTATTTTGTTATTTGATCGTTTTTTTCAATCCTTTAAAACAAATGGATTTCGTTCGTTCTATCAATCTCGTTCGTTGGCTCACTGTGCACGATCGTTCTGAAAATTTTTGTTTCAGTCAAATTTGTTGGTCAGTAAAATGTTTTGTTTGTAAATAAAATTTTCTAAAAAGTTTAAAATCTATGGAATATGATTGCGTAAATTTTTCATATTTCAAAATATGTCTATTTAACCAATTTTTTTAGTTTTAAATAAGAAAGATCTACAACTTTCATTAAAAAAAATCAGAGTTTGTGTGGAAAAAATTGAATTCCTCTCTTTCTTTCCCTTTGATGCATTCTTGTTATTAGATTATTGGTTCTCTCTCTTACTTAAAAGGAATCACTTTTCAGTGAATTCAGACTTCAAAAAAAAACTTATGGGTAAGGGTTGTATTGAAAAAATCAATTTAAAATTCGGTGATGGTGATGGAACAAATTCTCTGTAAAGTAAAAAAATTAGATGTTATTTCCACAATATATTTTGGTCTAGGTTAATCCTCGTCAGTTCTAATGATATAATAATCATCAGAATCGAAAAAAAAATTAAAACCACAGGAAAATAAACACACACAAAAAAATATTTAAAAAATAAAAATTTTGGGCTGTCAAATGGACATAAGAGAACCGAACTCAGATTTTGAGATGGCAAAAAGTTAATTTTCAAATATTCACTAAAATGTTTTAAGACAATTATTATTCCTTGAGATTGTTTCATTCTACAACACTCTTCATATGAAAATTAAAATGAAGACATAAAACTCGTTATATGACAGTAAAAATTGGACGGCTACCAAACAAGCTACAACTAATTTGGATTAAACTTCTTTTTCTATAGCTCATCAAAATGCTAAATCTAATAATTTAATGTAATATTTACGTAAACTATATCCAGACTAGCTTGTGTAATGATTAATGGGTTCAATTGATTACAATTCCAGATGTAAATTCTAGGTATTCGTGATGTCATTTGCTCCCTCTGGTTTATGGTGTGCACAAATGTTTCACTCTACGTCCCCGTACACAAATTCTTATAAGTTCCTTTATAGCTCTTTCTCTATAGATATCTCTCAGAGTATGAATGCATGGGATTTATCAGCTTAATAGTTTTTTTGTTAAGTAAATGTCACCCCGCGACTGACGGGTTTCCCGACACTCTTGCATCCTTGTACGTAAAGGGATCCGACTGGAACAGCAGAGAGCCTGCTTCTACGCGCATTTTCACTACATCTGTGTAAGGTTACTCTTGTTTTAATCAGCTCTATATAGTATCCGGAAAACCGTGGTTCAGCTGCTTCAGTTCTAGGTCTGCCTGAGCAGCTTCCTCAATCTCGTTCAGCTCTGCAGGATCACAATCAATCTGAGCAGCTTCTTCAAACTCCACTATCTCATTCAGCTGCTCTGGTCCATCAGATGCTTCTAATACATTCCCAGCTGCTTCCTTTACTACCAGAGCTACTCCTGGAGTCTCTGCTATATTAGCTGTTCTGTTATTGGTTCCACAACAGGTATGTGAAGAGCTGCTCTACAAGAGCTTCGTACTAAGGATCCTCTGCAGAGTATTGAACAGTCTCTGATTTATTGGGTGGGTATCTAGTTCTCCTCTGTACGAGCACTTTAGCTGCTCCAAGTCTCCAGTAGCTCTTTTTCTAGAACCAGCTGGTGAATATATCTTTGTCTGTAGTTGGACTGGATGGTCTGTAGCTGGACTTGTTTGCACTGGATATCTTAGTTCTCCTGTATGTCCTGGAAGTCCTAGCTCTCCTGTTAATCCTGGGAGTCCTAGTTTCTATGAGTCCTGGATATCCAGTTCTCTTCTGTATCCTTGTAAGTACTTTAGACGGCTGGTACGAGAGCAATTGGCTGCTCCAGATATGTGAAGAGCTGTCTGTCAAGAGCAGAGTCTCCAATATCAGGATGGGTCAGCATCTGGTATCCTGGGTATTCTAGTCCTCCTCTGTATCCTTATTGGTAGTTTAGACGAGCTGGTACAAAAGCAATTGGTTCCTGAAACTACTGGTGATAAATCTATTGATGATAATGAGGAATCCGTGGATGCATATTCATGGATAATGAGGGGGAAGGAGGCTGGTGTCCTTCTTAGTTTAGTTGGACTAGTATGTCCTAGATACATTACCTGCTCTATATCTCCAGTGGCTCATTTAATAGAACCAGCTCAAGAATATAGAGCTCCATCTAATACATCCTGGGCCGTAGTTGAACTATAGCTGAAAGAGTTACAATTGGGCAGTACCAGACACCAGCGGAAATACATCACTTGGTGATGCTGATGAATCTGATGAGGCATCCTCAGGTACAGTAATGGGGAAGGAGCTGGTTTCCTTCTTAGTTCTCTGATAGTCATGATAAAGATACATCAGTCAGATGGCTGTCTAGTAGTGCAGGTCCGTAGGCCTTTGTTGTACAAACAGAGGATTAGCTCAACGTTTGAACTTTTCAAATCCTGGGTGCACTCGTCCTTTTCTCCAGGTTCTCCACTCCTATATGCCGAGCCCATTAGCGCCTGATCCAATCAGGGTTCAGTCATGTGGTTGTTGTCTATTCTGAACCAATAGAAATAGTTTGGCGGTAACATCTATCTTTTTATAGATCTCATTATCCAATTAGAGTTATGAATCCTTCAATCGGTGCGTTCAGTAAATGGAAATATTTACTTCTACTGAAACTATAGTGTCTCTACTCCGCTCAGATTCAGAAAAAAGGGGTGAGCGGTGGTAGTACCTGAATATACTCTAAATATTACACCATGCTTTAAATACTAAACTTGGAAACCCAACTTTGTATGGAAAATAAAATTACCCTATAAAAACTAAAATTACCCTATAAAAACTAAAATTACCCTATAAAAGCCCACTCTGCAGCTGCTTAGAAAACTTTAAACCAAGCTAAAAACATATCTGTGGTGCTACCGAGGTCTGCTATCAACATTTATGGCATATCAGTCCAGGGGTACATTAGTTGTAAACGGACATGCAAACAGAGGTTCCCTTTTTTATTTAACTACTAGCTTGGGAACCCAGCGCTGCCCAGGTTAAAAAAGTTACTACTGCCGTTTACCCACACTTGAACGATTTTACCGGGAAAAAAATTGTCGCTATTAAATTCGACCTACTAAACTTAGATTCTCAAAACCGAGCTGAACACATTGACGTGGGTTTTACCAATCAAAATTTGAAGCAGATGGGACCAGGGGGTTCCTTAGTTATGATCGGACAAACAATCTAACAGACACCCAAGCAAAGATCACAACTTTATATATATAGAGAAAAAAAATATTGTTTTCTTTATTCTTCAAAAAGCTTAAAAGAAAATCAAATAATACAAAATATCTGAATAACATGAAGATATTATTGTTATTTATAAAAAATAACGTGTTATAAAATTAAGTAAGATATATTGCTCCTAGTAACCTGTTAATAAATTGAACGGACATGCCCATTTCGTGACCATGTGTAGCTATTTAAACTCAGGCCGTTAGTTTAATTAAAAAACTTTGGACATCCCAATTCCTCATTTTAAATTCAAAAAATAAAATTTTGGAGTTTAGTTTGAGTGAATTTAAAATTTAAACTAAGTTATTTTTCTTTTTTTCTTTCGTTAGCGAAACAGAATTAAGGGTTATTTTACAGATTGAGCTTTCTGTTAATTTTCTTTAGAATCAGTTTTTAACCGGAACAAAGCCCATCTTTATTTCTGTTTCCTAAAATAAAACTATATCTGAACGTGTCTTTTAACTTCCTTCAATTTTACTCTTCCTTGTAAAACATTTTTTCGTCTAGAAATTAAATAATTTGAAAATTATCAAAATACCTAAAATATACAGAAATGCAACTTAACAATTAGACGGAAAGAAAAAAAACATCTCAAAATGACCGTACAATTATATTTGTGCTAAAGAATATTCCATTACATATCTAGATTTTTAAGAAATGCTTTAAAACATTCGAACTTTATTTATTATAATAAATATAGAACAATTATATTGTCTAAATATAACATTTACACATTTTATTCATTAATAAACATTTGTTTTAATAAAACCTGGTCAATTTTTTACAGCAAGTCTGACTGTAAGTCTAAGAATGTAATTTTACTTTAGGTCTTGTCTTATTTAACGTGTTGGTTTAGTCCAGTGACCAAATGAATCTGGTGTAATGTTTCATCTTATTTAAATAGTTTAGTTTATCTGTTGTACATGTTTAATCTGGTTTGAATAGTTTAGTTTATCTGTTGTACAGGTTTCATCTGGTTTGAATATTTTAGTTTATCTGGTGTATATGTTTCATCTGGTTTGAATAGTTTAGTTTATCTGTTGTACAGGTTTCATCTGGTTTGAATAGTTTAGTTTATCTGTTGTACATGTTTCATCTGGTTTGAATAGTTTAGTTTATCTGTTGTACAAATTTCATCTGTTTTGAATAGTTTAGTTTATCTAGTGTAATGTTTCATNCATGTTTCATCTGGTTTGAATACTTTAATTTATCTGTTGTACATGTTTCATCTGGTTTGAATAGTTTAGTTTATCTGTTGTACAAATTTCATCTGTTTTGAATAGTTTAGTTTATCTAGTGTAATGTTTCATTTAATTAGAATCAATAAGTTTTTCTTTAATTAATGTTTAATTTGAGTCCTTAGTCAACAAAATCTTTAAAGTATCTGTTAGAATTCTAGTCCCAAGTTCTCGAAAAATATGAACATCACAAGTTTGAGTGTGTCTAGATATTAGAGTAAAGGATCCAAGTTCGGAGTTAAATCTATTATTCTCTCTCAACCTTTAATTTCAAGCCCATGCTCTCCCAATCTTGAAATGGATTTTCAGGTAGTAACAAGATCCTTTCAGAAGATTAGTTTTTATTCCATCAATCATATATATTCTCTTCATAGCACGTTCTTCACTTTGCATTGTTTAAAATCCTCACAACTAGATAAACATTTCTTATACAGGGCTGAAACTTTGGTTAGGACAAGCTTGGCTTCAAGGACTGACTTATAATCCAGTGGAAAAATTCTTAAATAAACATTTAAATCGCCTTAAATCTGAGAAATTCAAACTCATTTCTCCGGCACCTGTGTCAAGGTTTAGTTCGAGTTTTGACTTGTAATCAGAGATTTAAGACACAAAAGTTTTGGTCTCCAAACTTCTAAGTTGTTTTGTTGTTTAAAACATAGAATTGTTTGATTCAACGGTTCTTTCCGGTCTTGCTGGTAGTGAGGGAAGCCCCTCAGTAGGTATACTACATTTTTGCTCTGCTACTCCTGCTTCAAAGTGAACCCCCTGAAAAAATATTCTTTATTTTTTATTTTGTTTTTAATTTTAAGATATTAAGCGCTTAGTTCCTCTTTATTTTTGTGACATCTTAGTTGCCATGACCAGGCTATCAGCTTTTTGAGAATTTCAGTTGGTGGAAATTAAAAGGTGTCAAAATGAAAAAAATATTTCTTCTTTAAACGCTTAATGAGGAAAAATAAATACTCCTTTTTCTCCCGCAAAAAAGACTTTTGAAAATATTTAATTTTTTTTTCTTCTAATTTGTAAATATGACTGTAACCGTTTTTTTATATCATTTCACTATTTTGTGTTGTGACACAGCTAAATTAAGTATTTAGTGTATCATACTAAGAATGGAAATATTCCTCATCCCCCTGGATTCAAATTTTACTTTATGAAAAATTCCTGACTTCACACATTGACAAATGATAAAGAATATATTCCTTGAATTGTGGAGGTGGGGGTAGTATCAATTCTTCACATCTTTGAATAGGAATAAAATGTTGAAGATTCAAGCTGAGCTTATCCGACACTCCACTACTTTCTTTTATAAACTTTTTCTTTGGTAAAGTAGAAAAATGCCAGTGATTGTCTATTTTACCATCTCCGGCTCTTATCTCCTCCCCCTCATTACTCTCTAGCAGCAGTAATTGAGATGTTTTTGTACTATGGAAGCCGGGGATATCCTCCTCTACAATTCTATCGTTAGATAATTTAGCATCATGTAAAGATTGAAGAGGAGTAATGGAATCTGTGTTATTTCTTCCTGTTTGAAGTGGAATGTCTTTATTAACTTGGGGTTCTTTGTGAATTATATGATTAAAAAGAGTAACTTCACTTTTATCAATATTAACAATTGTTGGATCCCTGAAAGATACAATACTGTAACTTTTCTTCAGGATACTACATGGTCCATTTGGGAACTTATCCGCTGGTATAATATCATTTTTGTTTAGGCTTTCGTCCATCATTTGTTCATATGACAGCTCATTTTTGGTGTATGATGCAGCATATTCTGACGTCTCATCTGGGATACAGTTAGTTTTTGATGTTTGAATAGTCATCAAGGTTTTATCACTGGAGAATGTACTATTATTAATGGAACACTGGTAAAGGTGGGGTCCGGTTTGAGGACAGTTTCTTCTAACTCTTCGACATTTTACAATAAGGATCATGGAAATGGTGATTGTGAGAATACTTATAATAATGGCAGCCACTCCAATCACAACAAAGTATTCCCGCTTAAACCTTTCTTCCTCAACCTTCTTAGCCTCTGGAGAGAAGGGAGGTTCAGGTTTTACAACAATTACCGAAAAGTTTCCAATTGCTTTTCCTGCCTTATTCTCCGCCTCACACTGGAACCTCCCATTATCATCCTTACTTGTTCTCAGTAGGAACAGTTCACTAGTTAGTACACCTGGACCAGTTCTGGTAGTTGTGAAGTAGTAGCTTCTCAAATCAATATCGCTGACCATGGTTGAGCCGTTGCTAATCTGTAGACCTTCATACCTCCATGTAATTATACTTGATGGGATGCTGTCTACCATGCAAACTAAACTTATATTCTTCCCACTGATAACCTCTTCAAAGGAGGAACTTGGAGAAACTTTCGGAATGCAGGCTAATTCATAGTCAGGAAGTTCTCGAATGAGTTGTCCACTGATTCTTTCCGGGGAAGAACAGATGGGATCAACTTGGAATGAAACTGTTCTATTTTGCAAAAAATCTCTTAGTCCAATTAGTTTACAGTCACATTTCCATCGGTTTCCATTAAACGAAATCCCTCTGGTGTTCTTAGGAAGGTCTGACTGTGGATCCAACCTTTCAATCAGATTGTTTTCCAACTGCAACCAAAGTAAATGTTTTAAATCAACAAAGGCTTGAGCTTCAATCTCCACAATTTGACAAGCAGACAAGTCCAGTGTTTGCAAGTATTTGAGAGGTGTCAGTTGTGCCCGACTCACTTCACGAATGGGGTTACCAGTAAGTGAGAGGATCATCAAAAATTGACAATCGGACAGCGCATCTTGAGGAATACTCTGAAGTAGGTTGTAGCTGAGATCTAGTTCAACTAAATTTGTCATTCCTTGAAAACATCTTCCATTAACTTCTCTTATATTACACTGTCTCAGAAATATTTTCTGCAGGTTCAGTAGATCCAAGGAACTGCTCAAACAGATATTGTTATTACAAGTTTTGCGTCAAAGTATAAAAAATGCTCAATTTTTTCATTTTGAAAAGAATTCAGGTAATTGTAGAAAGCAAATTCTCCTGGGAATGACTTTGAATTTAACCAATGTTGAATAAGTAAAAAAAAAATATAAACAAAAGTATTGTTTCATTGCTTTTCTGGCATCATACTTTCTTTTGTTTCCTATTATTTCAAACTTTGAAGAAATTTTGTTAAATTATTTATTTCCAGGAGTTCTCAACTCCATTTCATCATTTCATTGGATCAAACATAGCAAAAAATCCAATTGTATTTTATTTTTGGGAAAAAGAGATTTTTCCTGATGAAGTGGTACTTTCTTAAATACCTAAAAGGACTGTAGCTGTAATTACAAGTGACTCTCTACTACTTGTTGATTGGCATTTTAGATTTAAAGCAGTGACCTTAAAACGTTGGACTGATCAAAGATGTCGGACTTATTCTAGTTAATCTAATAAAAGTCTTTTGAATTGTTTAGCACCCCTTTCTTCAAGATGTTTTATATTTAATAAATATCAATATTTACTTTCCAGAGATTTGAATTTGAATTTTTTCGAACCATTTTGGACGTAAAACATTTAATAATTTCCAGGGACACTAGTAACGTCAGCTGAGTTGAGTTTACACGCTAGTTTTGCAAGCATTCTAAAGTTATTCGAAAAATATACACAGGGAGCTCTCTGTCCCTGATGAGCAAACAATGGTTTAAAGGGTACCATTATAAATCTTTGCAAAGAGGGTCACTTGAAACTGCGCTTACAGTCCCTTTAATCTATAATTCCAGATTGCAATAGAATCTAGTTTTTAATAAGAAATAAAATGATCTAATTTGTAGCTGCAGATTATTAGAAATATTAGAAAATAAAGTTTGATAAAATCTCTACAATCTTATTCTTTGAAGTCTTATACTTTGACTTTTCAATGAATTAAGAAGTTTTAATTCTCAAAAAATAAATCAATATCTTGATTCCTGAATGTGTTTTCTCTAATTCTCCCCAAGTTGTTGAATGAAAGATCCATAACCTGAGAGCATTATTCTTTATAAACCTAGGTCATCAAGTTTAGCAAGATTATGAAAAATAATTCAGATTGATAGTTTTGGTTAGAAAAGGGCTAAGCTACAAACCTTTAACATGATTTTGTAATGCAATTCATAAAAATATTTTTTTTAACAATTTATTCAAAAATTAAATTTTTTTTTAATAATTTATAAATATCTAATTTTAACCAAATTATAAAAGAAAAATTTAAACTGTAAATGAAAAAATGCAAAAGGAATTGAGTTTTTGCCTCAAACTCAGATTTTCTAATTCTTTTATCCTTGCAACCCAATGTCTTAGATCTTAGATATTTCAAACTATAAAATCTGTCAAAGTCAAATTACCTAAGTTCAAAAAATCAAAGGTTTACACTATAAGGTTACAAAGATATCAGGATTTGAAAATTTGAACTTGTGGAAAGACTCAATTTCTTTATTAAAAATTTAAAACGCATTTTATTCCTTTTGAATTTTTACTTCTGATCGGAAAACCTTTAAAAAAATGACTCTTAAGACAATTACCATTTACCAAAACAAGATTGGTAAAAAAAAACAAAGATTTTGTCATTGAGGTGATTAACAAAGTGCCATAGGAACGTAGTTTTCATTCGAAAGTCCCAGCCTTGAAACCACTTATCGCAAACCAGCTGTTGAAAGCTAATTCATTAATAAATGCTGTAATGAATTTTTAAACAAAGGCTATTTTCCAATCCTGAGGCCGAATTGAACCCTATCCCTTTTGGGGTACTCGAAAACCAGGATACGCGGGGGGGNTATGACAATTGATACATAATTTGAAAGCTCTTATGTTCTACTTAAAGAATAGGCAAAATTTTCAAAAATTTACTTTTTTTCAGAACGTAGCAAAGTTGGTTGTGAAAAAAAAAAATCCAAAAAACTATAAGATATACATTTTTGAAAAGCCCTTGACATTTCAATTTTGCAAAATTTTGAATAACCTGATGTTTAATTATAAAAATGTGCAAATTTCTTTTGACGGGTTGTTTTGTTTGTAAATAACTTGCAAAATTTGTTTTGCAAAACTTGTGCAATCCGTTTCCTAATGTCATAGGCTTTCCAAAAAGCTAAAAGTTATTAAAATCTGACAACTTAAAAGGGTCAAAACAAAGATTTAGTTTGTTAAAGGAAAATGTTGCCATTCAGACAGGATGTCTGAGGACCCAGGGCCAGGCAGTTAGTAATAAAAGCCCGAATTTGGACTTAAGTTATGAGAATTGAAAAAATCTACAGGTGGGGGGTCAATTTGTCGCCCCCCCCCCCTGTAGGAAAAGGGTTAAAGAATTCATTAAATTCGGCCTCTGAATTGTTTATGGTTTTGAGTAAAAGGAATATTGAATAAGGTGGGATTTGATTTTCTGATATAGCAATATTGATTTGACAAGACAGAAGTTAAAAATCTGGTTACTAATAGAATTATTCGATATTTGACATTGAAAAAACTCATTGATCCTTTGAATTGTGCGTAAACGAACAACATATCTTAATACAAATGTTTTTTTTTAAACGAAATATTTTTTTATTGAATCCCGTAAAACTAAAAACATATATTTTTACTGGTCTTTATAAAGGAATGTCATTTACTCTTAAAAATTTTAGTGGCTGGTAAATGATATAATGTATAATGTATAAATCTAATAATATCTGGTAATATATTAAATATATATTGTACAGACAATATTAGATTTATTTGCATCACTTTTTTGGAAATGTCCGGACTAGGAGTAATTGGTGTTAAGAAATTCACGAATTTTACTTTTTAAAAAGGTTGAATAATTATATCTTAAATTTATTTCAAAGATGAAAAACGACGTCATAAACTCATGTTTTATGTGACACCCTGAACCAGAATTCCAACTGTGAAATATCAAAAGTATTCAACGTAAGGTTTCAAAGATATAAGTAATTAAAAGAATAATGTTCCTGTGTAGTTGAATCCAGGTGTGGTAATCTTGAATAGGAGGCATTCACACATTCTACAGTTTCCTTACCCCCTTTCCACTTACACAAGCACTTATCCGGGCACAGGCCGTCAGTAGTAGCCTAGGTCAAACAATAGAGTTAAAGTTATAGTAGCCTAGATCAAACAATAGAGTTAAAGGTATAGTAGCCTAGATCAAACAATAGAGTTAAAGGTATAGTAGCCTAGATAAAAAAATAGAGTTAAATGTATAGTAGCATAGATCAATCAATAGAGTTAAAGGTATAGTAGCCTAGATCAAACAATAGAGTTAAAGGTATAGTAGCCTAGATCAAACAATAGAGTTAGAGGTAGTAGCCTAGATCTAACAATAGAGTTAAATGTATAGTAGCCTAGATCAAACAAAAGAGCTAAAGGTATAGTAGCCCCAGATCAAATAATAGAGTTAGAGGTAGTAGCCTAGATCAAACAATAGAGTTAAATGTATAGTAGCCTAGATCAAACAATATAGTTAAATGTATAGTAGCCTAGATCAAACAATAGAGTTAAATGTGTAGTAGCATAGATCTAACAATAGAGTTAAATGTATAGTAGCCTATATCTAACAATAGAGCTAAAGGTATAGCATCCTAGATCAAACAATAGAGTTAAATGTATAGAAGTCTAGACCAAACAATAAAGTTAAAGGTATAGTAGCCTAGACAAAACAATACAGTTAAAGATATAGTAGCCTAGATCTAACAATAGAGTTAAAGGTATAGTAGCCTAGATCTAACAATAGAGTTAAAGGTATAGTAGCCTAGATCTTACAATAGAGTTAAATGTATAGTAGCCTAGATCAAACAATAGAGTTAAATGTATAGTAGCCTAGATCAAACAATAGAGTTAAATGTATAGTAGCATAGATCAAACAATTAAGTTAAATGTATAGTAGCCTAGATCAAACAATAGAGTTAATTGTATAGTAGCCTAGATCAAACAATTGAGTTAAATGTATAGTAGCCTAGATCAAACAATAGAGTTAAATGTATAGTAGCCTAGATCAAACAATAGAGTTAAAGGTATAGTAGCCTAGATCTAACAATAGAGTTAA